TTATTCGGATCCTCACCTGCAAGTCCATTAAACCTTGGCAACAAGTGTATTAAACCAGATTTTAATTCAAAAGGAACAACAAGATCATCATATTCAATACACAAGCTATTATAATTCACATCAGGGGCAGCCAATTGCCTTAAGGTTCTATTATCAGCCATTTCAAAATCAAGTTCAGTATCCGAAGCAAACAAGTTATGCAAATAGTCAGACTCAGACTCAAACACAATGATGGAAAATGATTAATTAAATTTCAGAAAAATAAAATAACACTAGAATTAAGCTAACTAAGCAAAATAACACTTATGAGAACTTTTTCGATTTTTTCCGACTCTATGAAAACAGTAAAAAATTCATTAAAAATAGAAAAATGATGAATTTGGGACAGATTCCGATTCTGACGCAATTTTTCCAAAAACCGATTTTTTCGACTCTAGACGCGAGAAGGCCAAAAACGTGGGGAACCTAGGGCCTAAGCACAACAACACTAAACCTATGACTCTAATATCGATTAAAAAAGACAAGAATCCCCGGCAACAACGCCAATTTGATCCGCTGTCACGCGCGGATAAAAAACGAGTCTTTTTGTAAAAATTATAGTACAGCGACAGTAACTCAGAATATCGTTCTCAAGGATTCTTGTAGTGATTTGACCAATAAAGTAACAGTTTATGGGGGTTTGAATTTTGATTAAGAGAAAAAACTACTTAAAATAAGTGACTATAAAAAAGTGATTATTAAAATAAGCTAAAACGACTAATCCTACTGATTCGGGTTCCGACTTATCATCCGCTATTATAACATCAATCCCTAAACGGCTCCAATCCTATTCGATTATGATATTAATCAGACAAGCGCTTACCAACATCAAATGAAGTATGTTCCTGTTTACCGAATTAAGCAAACGGTTAAGAATATGACGAATTAACGAATTAAGCAAACGATAACACACCATTAAATTTAGGAACATGCATACAATCGAATTTAATCAATTCTATCCTATTAACAACAATTGAATTAAGAAAACAATTGCAATCAAATTAAGCAAATGACTTCATAGAAAAGGATTGAAAGGAATCAAATTTAAATTGATATTATAATAACCTCAAAGTGATGAAACCGTACACAGCAGGATTTGCCCGTGGGGTATTAGTTCTCCATGAGTTCTTCTCAAGCGTTTTTCTCTTTTTCGTGAATAGTAAATAATGATGAACAGTAAAAACGAGGTTCCTTATAAACGAAATTCATAACCCAACTGGTTCATAACCCAATTGGGTCGAAAACATAACTCATGCCCACTATATGATCCAAAACTAAAACAAATTCCTAATGCTGTAACTTCAACGAATATTCTGGGAAAATATGCTCCAAATCTGACTTCGACTCCAACACGAAAGTCGTAGCTCTCTCTCTTAACTTTTCGGCGATTTTTAGAACGCCTCAAACGGATTCCTAAAACTCCAATTATGATCGTTTCCGTGCAGACTGCTAAAGCTGAAAAATAAAGTGCAAAAATCAAATTAACCCAAAAATAAAATAAAATATAAAAACATAATAAAACATAAGAATACTCAAAATAAACTAAAGAAATGTCTAAATAAAAATATAGGAGAATGTGCATAAAGATGCACCGATCAATAACACATTTAAAATATAATATATTTATTATTTTTAAAAATCTATTTTTCCTAAAATAATATAAATTATGTTGACTAAAATATAATACATATTTTAAAATATAATATATAAGTTGTTTACTAAAAATAACACATTTAAAATATAATATATATTCATTATTTTTAAAAATCTGTTTTTTCTAAAATAATATATATTATGTTTACTAAAATATAATACGTATTCTATAGTATAATATTCTATAATATAATATATAATTTGTTTACTAAAAATAACACATTTAAAATATAATACATATTCATTATTTTTTAATAAAAATACTTTTTTGAAAAATAACACATTTAAAAATAACACATTTTAAATATAATACATATTCATTATGTTTTATAAAAAATACATTTTATTTTTTTCTATTTACAATTTTGTTTACTAAAAATATTTTTAAAAATTCTACTTTTTCTAATATAATATATATTCTGTTTTTAATTTTAAATACATATTTAAATACAACATTACATATTTTGTTTCTAATATATATTCTATTACATATTTTTCTAATATATATTCTGTTTTTAATTCTAAAAAAATATATTTTGTTTCTAATATAATATATCTTCTAATATTTTTAATTTTATCTTTCAAACACCCAAACAACATTACATATTTAAATACAACAACACCAAATCTAAAGTTTTATAATCAATAACCAAACATTTCATACATCCCTATAAATATGAAAAATAAATAAATTTAATTGCGTAAATACCTCAATGGAGCAAATTCCTAAAGCTTCAATGGAGCTAGTTCTTAATCTTCGATCTGAAAAAAAATTAATAATTAATAATAAGAAAAATTTAAAATAAAATGTAAAATAAAAACAAAAACAAAGAAAGTAACATTTACCTCAAAATATTTGTGAAGCTTTGATTCAAAAATGGAGGAGAGGAACACGCAGAAGGAGAAGGAGGAAAGGAGCAAGAAGGAAGCAAAAGGAAGAAGAAAGGAGGATGCGTGAAAGGATTCTGAGTTTTGGATATATAGCAACATTTGCGACGTGGTAGACACGTGGGAACGTACCCACGTGAACACCACGTCGAAACCTATCAAGATTCTCTTATTTGCGACGTGATTTCCCCATGGGAAAGTTGCCACGTGAATTGCACGTCGAAACTTTCCAAACATTTAATATATTAACGTTGCAATATTAAAGGTCAAAGCAACGTTAAAAAAAATTTAAAACATTAATGTGTCCCATTTGCGACGTGAGAGTCACATGGGACATGTGGAACATCATTAATGTGTCTGAAACGTAAAAATAAAAGTTGACCACCTTTATTATTTTTAAACTTGCGACGTGGTCCACATGTGGGTAGTTTGTGACTTGTTCCCCACGTCGCAAATACAAAGACTTTTTTGAATTTTTTGTTCCCATGTGTTTAACACGCCACAACTAAATTTTTGAAAAATTCAAATTTTCCTCCCTCTTAAAAACAACACTCATCATTGCAAATTTTAAGTTTGGAGGGGATATTAATTAAATATTGTAGTGACGTGGTTTACACGTCGCAACCTATTTTTTTTTCTACGTGTTTACCACGTCACTAAATCACTAGGTAAAATCCAAGTTTTCTTGTAGTAAAATGAAGTGCCTTAGATAATTATTTGGCCAAATAATGTTAAAAGGCTATTTAGATTTTATTTGGAAATTATTTAATTAATTAAATAATTTGGTATGGACTCAAATATGAGTAGATGACAGGATGACTGATTTGAGAATATATATATATATATATATATATATATATATATATATATATATATATATATATATATATATATATATATATATATATATATATATATATATATATATATATATATATATATATATATATATATATATATATATATATATATATATATATATATATATATATATATATATATATATATATATATATATATATATATATATATATACACTATGATCCTCAATATACGGTACATACACAATTTATCTTTTCTCTCTCGGAAGAGAATTCAAGACATTATGAGTACCAGTTGAGACGAATCACAAACTAACGAATGCTTTTCATTCGTCTCTCTTTACTTTGTGTTTCAGTAGAATATAAAATTGTCATGTCAATGATTTAATTATTTAGGTATTCCCATTCTCAATCCTTAATAAATTAATATGTTGTAGATCATAGTTTATATATATACTCATATAATTTTCGCACTAAAATAAGATTATAATTTTAATCTTTGTTTATTGAACATCTTTGTATAATTATTATTAAATTAATTCCAATATTACTCAGTTTTTGGGTGGTTTGCGGTGGATGTACTTGATTGACAGTTTGGCTATGGGTAGATTTCTCTTCCACTAATCTCCTTATTAATTAGTGATGAAATAAAAGTACATAATTAATTGTTAAATTAATTCCGATTCATTCCTAGAGTATTAAAATCAAAGTTGTTCGAATCATTATTATGAAAGAGATCGTACTATATATGCAATTGAATTGAAAGATCTAACAAGTTAAACAATAAATGGCCAGATATTCAAACCATATCTTGGATGTGAAGTTGAGAGTCTCACCAGTGACATTAAAGAAGTACTTATTAAAGGTAACCAAAACTTTTAGGTGAATTCTTATTTACCCAACTCAAAAAATTAGGTAAGGTTATTTACCCAAACTTTTATTCCTTCTAATGTTTGCCTTTATAATTTATGCAGTGTGTTAAATCTAGTACCTCCATCATTTTTGAAAACATTGAATTTTAAAATAGAGATCAACAAAAACTCTAAACATGCGTTTGGAATCATACTCCAAATGAGCATGCCCTACATGAAGCATCACCATGAAGATGAAACACCCCATGGCTCATACACACAAGACAACTATGAACATTAAATATTCAACTACATAACATTTAAGTAGCAAGCAACCTTTATTTTTCTGAAACACTCACCTGTCTATTCTATATCATTCGATTCATGCAATTTATGTAATAACCCCATTGGATACTTTTGAACAACTTCATTATTATTCTGTCTATGAAGATTATTTTCTTGACATAACAAGAATTAAATTTTATACTTGAATTTTCTGAACAAACGATAACATCAACCACAACCTTCAATCATAACCATAAATGAACTTCAGATACAATCTAGTAAAACCATAAACCTTGCATTAAATGAAATTGTTAAGAAACATGATATCCATCTCAACATAAAAGTAACACATATAAGTGTCTTAAATAAAAAACACAAGCTAACAAAAACCTTAATAATAAAATCAACACACCAAAGAAAACAAGCAAACTAATTAATTAGGGTTATGATATTACGATAAATTTCATGGTGATCTAGGCTTCATTTTTCCTTCATTTGCCATCTTGAAAATATGAGCTTGAGTTGCAGCAGCTTTGTTGGAGTGAAGTGAGGCAGAAAATCTGTCCCTAACTTGATCAGTTGTGTAAGGGAACTTGTGGTTGACCAAAGAGTTGAGAAATGAAGCAGTTCCTTCTCTGTAGAGTGCTCCTAACCCATCAGTTCTTGGGTTGGAAAGTGCTTGTGGTAAGGTTAAACCAGGACTAAACCCAGGAACACTTGTCACACCAAATGCATTTCCTAATGTTCCCCACCAACCTAGAACTCCCCATATTATTGCTGGATGGTTCCTCCAGAAGCTGTAAATCACAGAAAAACTAATATAACAATACTGTGGCAAATGGTAACATATAGTATTTTTTACTAGGTTGCTTTTATATAGAGAAAAACACAACATATATGTCCACTAGTTATACTAAAATTTAATGTGACTTTCTTTTTGAAACATAACTTTATAACTTTTATTTAAAAGGTTTTAAAAAACTGTCTGATACCCGATACCCCGAAAATGGCTGCAATAAAATAGTATTAGAAGATACTGATATAAATAATATTATTCATCATTTTTATGATAAATAACATATTGTGACGCGATGACTGCAAATACTGTTTCGACACTTATACCGATCGAAATTGTGAAAAACAGATATTATGAAGTCAGTACTAATATTAAAAATGTGTTGTGTTTTGAAAACAACTTACTTGCATGTGCCAGTTAAGGGAGATGGGGAAGGAAGGAAAGGAGGTGATGGGAGAGTTGGAGTGCCGGGGTCAATTGGTGTGGATGGAGATGGTGGTGTCAAAGTGATTGGTGGATCAACTGGAGTTGAGGGTGGTGAGTTATAGTATCCACCACTTGATGGAGGGTTTGATGGTGTTGAAGGTGTTGGGTTGTATGAGGGCGTTGAAGGATCATGTGGTGGTGATGATATGCAGCCAACTGAAGGTGGAGTTGGAGTATAATAACCTCCATGTGAAGGTGGTGAAGAGGAGCTTCCATGTGAAGATGGTGAGCTTCCATGTGAAGGTGATGAGCTATGAGAAGGAGGAGAACTACTGCTGTGTGGACCTGCATGTGTTAAAGACAGCAAGAAAAATATCAAATATTTTTCTATCAACTTTTGCCAAAATATTAAACAATGTTAACTTTACATGATAAATGAAGTTAGAGAATTACATAGAGAATCAGAGAAACTTGTAGGAGGGTTTCTTAAACGTGGATCTGGAATGTAGTAGTTCTTCTGATCTACAAGAGTGGAGGAGATTACAGGAATCACAAGGTGTTGAGAAAGAAGTGCAATAAGCACTGTGAAAATGGGAAAGGAGACATTGGTTATTTTCCTCTCCATGTTTTTTCTAGATGCTTGGAAGAATGAGAGAAGAGAAGTAAAGTGAGGAGAATTTGAAGTGGTGTGAAGTGAGGAGATTGAAGGGAATATAAGCAGAGAGTGAAGTAAATATTAGCAGGTGGGAAGAGTCTATGGTTAGTTGATATGTTGCAGAGTGCATTTACTCAATACAGTTTTACTACTACGATTTCTTTATGCAATAATGGAATTTGAATTCAACACATTAAATGCATGAGGAGATATTTGATTTTGTTGTCTGATTTCAAAATTACTCAAAGATGATTAAGTTTGGTTAAGTGAATTATGTTGGATTCAAATGTTATATATTAATCAAACATCCATTATGAATAGACTAAGATTCTGGAATTTTTTTTAGAATAACCAATTTTTTTCAAATTAAATACTAAACAAAATAATAAATAAAATTATTTTTTAAAGTAATTATATTTCAACCTTGGGTCGCCAAATGAAATAGCGAATGGGTGTAAACAGTAAAAAATTTGCTATTTGGGCCAGCGACAGCACATCATCTTCCAACTGATTCGTCAATTCATTTGGCGAATCAGTTCATTTCCTTTTTTTTTCTTTTCGTTTTCCAATTTTTCTTTTCTATTTTTTGTTTCTTTTTATTTTTATAGGTTTTATTTTTTGTTTTTCATAATTAAAATAATATTTGAAATTTAAATAATCTAAAAAAAAGCAATAAATAGTAAAATATATTAATTTATAATAGAATATAAATTACAATTGATAAAAAAAAATTAATGGTCGACTCTATCTAAACGACCACCGGTACCACATTGTGGAGGATGCACGCGGCAACGAGGTCTACCACGAGGTTGCTGAGGTGAGTCCGGTCTTTGGGTGTTGACTTGTGAAAGAGGTATTTGTTGGGACGGTCCTGACGTATTAGATAAATTTTGAAGCATTTGACCCCAATAGCCAGGAGGTCCACTATCAACGGCGCTTCCGTAATTAACTCCAATGCCCATGTGTTCGTAGGATTGTCGGGGAGGTTGGGTGGAGTATGGACGGTATGGTTGTTCGAACTGGTACATCGAATCGGTTTGGAAACGATGTATTGGTTGTTGTGGGGTTTGGTAGTCAAAAAGTGGATAGGTGGAGGGGGTAGGGTCAAAAGAGTTATCTGGGCTATAAGTGGATAGGGTAGGGTCAAAAGACGTATCATGACTATATGGGTAAGGTTGTTGTTGTGATTGGGTTGGTGGCATGTACGGGTCATGGTAAGGCTGTTGTTGTTGATGTTGGGCATTTGGTGGCATGTATGGGTTATGGTAAGGCTGTTGTTGTGGATGTTGGGCATTGGGTTGTCGTTGTGTGTTGGAGGAAGAAGCACGTTGCCTTGGGTTAATTAAATATGTTGGCACAGACAGAAATGGTTGTGATGTTGTAACCTGTAACACCCCGATTCTGAATTTCCCATTTTTGTTGAGTCTTCTAATTTATTTTAATTGAATTATTCTTTTAATTGTGGAATTTGAACTTTAATATGTTATATGTGCTTATTATGTTATTTTATTATTCGGAGAGTTTTGGGGAATTAATTAGAGGGTGTTTTAGATAATCCTTAATCAGTAGATATTTGAGAGAAATAGAATAGAAAGAGTATAAGTGGAATTAGAGAGAAAAGAAATGAGATAGAAAGAAATAGAAAGGAAAGAAGAAGAAGATAAGAGAAAGAGGAGAAAAACCTAGAATCATCAAGAATCAAACTTCTAAGCTTCGATTAATCGGGTAAGGGTGTGAAACTTTATCATTCTTTCGATGTGTATGATTATGTATGTTTCTATCGGTTTGTTTTTAGATTGGGGAAAGTTTTGCTCATTTTCCGTTTTAGGTCGAATTTGAGTTAATCAGTAGGACCTGAGTTTTAACGGTTAAGAATGAGAATAAGTGGTAGGATTTAGTTGAGGGATGTTGGGCTAAGGATACCGAGACGAGTTGGGCTTGAATCGGGTAGACTTCGATGAGTTACGGAATTTTGGACAGTGAGGATTCTGAGTTCGCAGACCCTCGCTGACACGTTCGCTAGGCGAGTAGGTCGCGAGCATTCGCTGGGCATTCGCTGTGGCGAGCCAGTAGCGAATGGTCCCAGACTTGTGCAGAATGGTTTGTGGTGTTCTTCGCTGGTAGCGAAAGGGGTAGCGAGCGACTCGCTAGATCTTCGCTGAGCGAGTGTGGTAGCGAAGCAAGTCAGAGGCTTCTGTTTGCTCTCGCGAGCTTGTTCGCTAGGCGAACAGGTAGCAAGCACTCGCTGGGAGTTCGCTAGGCGAACAGGGTAGCGAGCGTAGCAGGGTGTTATTTTATTGTGTTTCACTTCCAGGATTGATTCTCTGATTCAAGTGTGATTAGTTTTTCTGATTATGCATGGTTGTGTGTGTGATATGGAATGTTGTAGGTAGCCGTATGGCGTGAATCCTAGACCGTAAATCGTGAAGTGTGAAATGTGGTCGTTTGGCAATGTTGTGCAATTGTTTGAATTGAATGAAATATACATGAATATATATATATATATATATATATATATATATATATATATATATATATATATATATATATATATATATATATATATATATATATATATATATATATATATATATATATATATATATATATATATATATATATATATATATATATATATATATATATATATATATATATATATATATATATATATATATATATATATATATATATATATATATATATATATATATATAGTGTATATGTATGCATGTCGAGAATGTATGGAGTCGTTTTGTTTGTGAAGCATTATGATTGCATTCTTGTGTGTCTGATCGCGCGTAGGATCTGCAGAAACCTCGTGTGCCCTTGTGGGGTGTGAGCGATGGTTTGTCCTTGATCCCTAGGAGGATCTGCAGAAACATCGTGTGCCCTTGTGGGGTGTGAGCGATAGTTTATTTTGATTCCGTGGAGAATCTGCAGAACGATTGTGTGCCCTTGTGGGGTGTGAGCAATCCTAAATCATCGTGTGCCCATGTGGGGTGTGAGCGATGGGTGAACATCGTAGGCTCGACGGGGAGTTACTTCGGTAACGAGGGATGGTTCCTTTGGTTCTTCAATTGAACATGCTGAATGAGTCGGTACCGTATTTGCATCTGCATAGAGTCGTGATTCGGTCTCTATGAGTGCATTATTATCTTCATATGATATATCGGTATAATGAACATAACTGTGTATGTTTTGTGATGAATTATATGTGTGTTTCGATACGTATATGATTGAATTGTGTTATATTGCGGTGAGAAATGTAGTATATATATTCTATGCGTTGTTTGTTATGATAATATTTCTCACCCTTCTGCTGTTTTATAATGCTCTATGAGGCATTGCTGAGTAGGTTTGCTAGAGGTCTTTTGCGAAGCATGGCTTCGTTCTTTTTGGTCGGTTGGCTTTGATATGTAGATCCGGGTAGTTAGGAATTCTTTTGGGTTCTTTTGTGATACATCTGTGTATGTATCTGATGGAATGTTTTGTAACCATAACTTCTGATTTGAATTAAACTGTTGACGTATACGATGTTTATATGAATGAAGTGATTCAATGTTTAGATGTTTCCGCTTTTATTCTAGATATTGATGTGTGGGTTTTAAGGACTAAGTTCCTTGGTGGCGATTTACCCTTTGTTGCATATCTTTATGGGCAGGTGTTGTATGTGTTTTCGAATTTCCTGGATAATGTGACGTGCCTCTTTTATACCATGTGTTAATTATACTCTGATGAAAATTTTATTAAGTGCCTAAATGATTTAATTGTTTATTTGGGGTTATAGAAAGGGGGTGTTACACTAAGTGGTATCAGAGCCAATGTTGAGTCAGTTGCGTCTGTCTTGTTGTTGTGTTGGTTGAACAGTTGTTTAACCTTGTTGTTATTTTTGGGAATAATTAGAATATGGCTGGTCATAATGACACTGCTATGGCTGCGGCGTTGGAGGCTATGGCTGTGGCGGTGCAAGGCGCACCGAATTCGAACGCTAATGATGAGTTTAGAAAGAATCAGCCTCCGGTATTCAATGGGAGGTTTGATCCGGGCGGTGCTCAGATCTGGTTGAAGGAAGTTGAGAGAATATTTAGGGTTATGGTGTGTGCTGAAGGAAACAAGGTGAGACTTGGAACTCACATGTTGAGAGAAGAGGCCGACGACTGGTGGGTCAGTATGAGACAAGTTCTTGAGGTAGATGACGAGGAAATAACCTGGGATTTATTTCACACAGAATTCTTGAGAAAGTATTATCCTGAGAGCGTAAAAGGGAAAAAGGAAATGGAATTTCTTGAGCTGAAGCAAGGCAATATGTCAGTGGTGGACTACACGGCTAAGTTTGTGGAGTTAGTTCAGTTTCATCCACATTATGCGGCGGTTACGGTGGAATTCTCTAAGTGAATTAAGTATGAGAATGGCTTGCGTCCTGAGATAAAACAAGCGGTGGGATACCAAAGGATACGAAGATTTTCGGACTTGACCGAATGTTGTAGGATTTTTGAAGAGGACAGTAGGGCTCAATCTACTCATTATAAGAGTTTGAGTGAGAAGAAAGGCAAGCAGCAAGTAAGGAGTGGACCTTATATGACGCTTGTTGATAAGGACAAGTATAAGGGAAACTTTGATAAGAGACTCGGGGGAGGAAGTTCTGGTGCGGTCAAATGTTACAAGTGCGGCGTGATGGGCCATAAATCTTTTTAATGTGGGAAGTCTGTGGATAAGTGTGCTAATTGTGGAAGTCTTGGGCATGCCACTTCTGGTTGTAGAAGGAATGTGGTGAAGTGTTTTACTTGCGGGGAAGTTGGTCATATTAGCACCAAGTGTACCAAACCAAAGCAAGCTCAGTCGGATGGGAAAGTATTTGCATTAGCCGGTTCAGACACTACTAATGCGGATCGCTTGATTAAAGGTACATGCTTTATTAATAATATGCCTTTAGTTGCTATTATTGATACTGGAGCGACTCATTCATT